TGTAGCATTTCACCCGAGAGTATTCTAAGGGTATCGTATTTATTTTATCCTGTGGGAAGTTCATGGGTATCGTATTTATTTTATCCCGTGGAAAGATCATGTAGAGAGAACTTGACTAATAATTTATATGTTACTTGTGATAATCAAATTCTAAGCAGGGGTTAAGATAATCTAATAGTAGAATGACACATAAGCAGTAAGCTATGTATTCTCATAATAAATTATCTAAGATAAGTGGAAAGAAAAGAGAAAGAGAATATATTCCTATACTTCTAGTATACATATACATAGTATACGTACATTCTAATCATCTGATATACTAGCTAATACCCTCTATCCGATGCCCTCCTAGTACTTCGAGAAGCCACCCCTGACTGTCGAGTTCCGTACAACAGCCTGTCATGACCATACAACCGGGGCTAAATACGGAGGAGTGCCCTCCCCAGGAAATTAACTTAGGACTATATACACGCGCGGAGGAATACCCGTACTGAGCTGTCACCATCAGCGGCCCACCTCTCATCCGCAGCATATAACCCCAAATAATAATATCCCATAATCTAGACACCACACCTAAACTACCAGATACTACTCTAATATCATCGTCATGACATAGAGTAATTGCATATGCAAACATTATACCCGCACCAAAGTATCTTCCAGATAAGCTAGCAGTATATTCAGTATAACATGAACATAATGTAAAGTAGGCATTCATATACTCGGAAAGTATTTCAATACCATAAATGTATAAAGAAAAGTATTCTAATAATATTATAAAGCTTACAAAAGAGAAGAGAAGAGCTACTAGAGCCATACCCGAACTCTTCCGAAGGCTTCCAGACTCCTGATTTCTACTCTTCCTATTCCACTAGTTTAAGAATACTAAACTAACTTAAAATAATATGAGAGAGTTCTTGCTTAAGGTGTGTGAGTGAAGTGAGGATGAGAGCTCCTTTTATAGCTTGAGAATGACGGTTGTGAAGGTTGTAAAGGTCGGTAATACCCACCAATCGTCATCAGGGAGTCATCTCAGCCGTCCAGGAGAACCCTGGATCGAGTGGCGCTGCGGGGGGTTCGGCCGAACCATGGGCTGGGCCGACCTGGCCCAAAATCGGCAGGTGACCTCCTCCTTTGCTCTCTTTCACAGACTTGTGAATTTTGGCCCAATCCATCGTGTCAATTTTGAGTTCTTGGCCCATTCATGCATAAGTCTGATTCTCGACATCGTCCGATTGATCGATCGTCTGTTTTGATGTCGATTCTCCTCCACTTTATGTTTATTCTCTGCAAAAGGGTTAGTGAACCTAATACTAGTGGAATATTATTATTCTAACATGTATTTTCATTGCAAGCATAACTAGTTCTCCTCTATTATGGTAATATTGACGGTCAAAACTGATCGATAACGACTGTCAACAATACACACTGTATGTCTTGGAGTCTGTACTGTAGCTGGCTACAGATCTGTAGACCACTGCTCTTCTCTCTCTTTCTTTATCTCTTTAAAATATGTTTATACCTGGCTTATAGCCTACTATTGTACCTGCTCTAATGTTATTAGCTCAGAAGAGTATTAGTCCTTTTATACTTGGGAGGAAAATTATGGAGAGGGTTGTTAATGTTCATGAAAATACATGAATTACACCCAAAAAAAAGAGTGGTCTACCTTTTAAGATTGATGTTGACAAAACTTATGATAAAAGTAAAATGGTCTTTTGTTCAACAAACCTTGAGAATGAAGGGCTTTTCACAAAAATAATGTGATTGGATTGCTTATTTTATCCAAAGGGGACATGTTGGCATTAAAGTAAATGATCAAGTGGGATCAAATTTTCAGACCTATAAGGGTTTAAGGTAAGGAGACCCGTTATCTCTAATTCTTTTTAATATAGTTGTTGATATGTTAGCTATATTAGTAAAGAGATGAAAAATTGATCGTCAAATTTCTGGAGTGGTCCCACATCTGGTTGATGATGGTTTACTATCTTATAATATGCTGATGATACTATTATTTTTTTAGAGCATGACTTACAGAAAGCTAAAAACATGAAATTGATTTTAACTTCTTTTGAAAAAATATCAGGTCTGAAGATAAAATTTCATAATAGTGAATTATTTTGCTTTGGCCAGGCAAAGAAATGTGATGAGCAATATTCAAATATTTTTTGGTGCAAACTAGAAAATTTTCATGTTAGATATCTTGGCATTCCTATGCATTTTAGAAAGCTTAGTAATAAAGATTGGTGAACAATTAAACAAAGAATTGAGAAAAAACTTAGTAGTTGGAAGGGTAAACAAATGTGTGTATGTGGGAGATTGGTTTTGATTAACTCTATGTTATCAAGTTTAGTTATGTTTATGATTTTGTTTTTTGATATTCCTCAAGGGATTCTTCAAAAAATGATTATTATATATCCCATTTCTTTTGGCAAGGTGATGAACATAAAAAGAATATACAAATTGACAAGATGGGATATTATTTGTCAGCCTAAAGATCAAATTAGACTTGGTGTTAATAATTTAGAAATCCAAAACCAGTGTCTATTAAGTAAGTGGTTGTTTAAGTTAATAAATGAACAAGGTATGTGACAAGATCTTTTGAAAAGAAAATATCTTGGTACTAAATCTATAACTTAAGTTGAGAGGAAACAAGGAGATTCCCATTTTTTGTCGGGTTTGATAAAGGTTAAAAGTTCTTTTCCAAATATGGGCTCCTGGATTGTTAGTAATGGTGAACAAGTTAGATTCTGGGAAGATAAGTAGTTAGGTAATTCTCCTTTAAAGGACAAACACCCAATGCTATATTCTATAGTTAGAAGGAAAAACTCCTCGACTGCAAGTGTTATGAGTATAATTCCACTTAATGTCTCTTTTAGGAGAGCATTAGTTGGTCAGAACTTGATTAGATGGCATAATTTGTGTGCTTCAATTGTGCATGTTAACTTAACTGTGGAGGATGATATATTTAGATGGAATCTTCATCAAAGTGGTACATAGAGAGAAATAAGTTTATTTGAAAACTTAAGATGCCTCTTAAGATTAAGATTTTTATGTGGTATCTCTTTAAGGGGATTGTTTTAACAAAAGACAATTTGGCTAGGAGGAATTGGAATGGTAGTTTGAGATGTTGTTTTTTATGAAAAATGAAACAATTTACCATCTTTTTCTAAATTGCCATTTTGCCAGATTTCTTTAAAGATTTATACAGTTCTCATTTTGATTATACCCTTCTCATTTGGATTATACCGTTCACATAGTATATCTCATATATTTGGGAATTGGCTTGTGGGTGTTAATAAAAAAAATTAAGGAACTTATTCTTGTTGGAGCTTCTGCTATATGTTGGGCTCTCTGACTTAGTAGAAATGAAATGGTTTTTGATAGATCACCTTCAAAATCTTATTTGCATGTTCTTTTCAGGGTAACATATTGGCTCCGGGAATAGGCTCAAGTACAAAGGCATGATGATTATATTAAGCTAATAAAATATGTATGTCGTAAACTTGAATCGACGATCATGCAGCTCTTTGCCAACTTTGGGTGGAAATTTACCAATAGAATTCAGTAGTTGGGGATATTTATCTTGTTTGATTTTTATTAGTTTGTTGCTGCTTTTGGTTTTGTTTACTTTGGCTTTATACTCACTGTGTGAGTTTGCTATTGTTTAAACCTCGTAATAATTGGTTATAGTTAGTTGAGCAAATGCTAGGATGTTTTATTTCATTTTCTTAAAAAAATACCTAATTTTATTAGCAGTGATTGTGCACTAGGTTAAAAAAATGATAACAGACATTTATTTGATATTGTAATGATATGAAAAATTTTATTTGAAAGTACAAAAAAATTTATGCGTTTCTCGGAATACATCCGAACGAAGGAATATCTAAATACATTTTCAAAAAATACGTAAAAAAACCCTATTTTAAAATGGACAGGGTAAGCACCACCGTTAAACCAGTGCTTTAAATTTCTAAAGATCCGATCCGGCGATCCCCTTGTCTCTTGTGAGCTAAAGTCTCAAGGGCCCCACCCACAGGCCGGAAGCCCTTTCATTTCACTTCCATTCAATCCATCGATCCCAAAAATGGGGCAAAGCAAATCTGGCACCGTGAAATACGGGCCTATTTAGATCACGAAATGAAAATTTTTGGGTGTCACATCGAACGTTTGACCGGATATCGGAAAGGGTTTTCGGACACGAATAAGAAAACTAATTTCATAACTCGCCCTGTAAACCGCGAGACGAATCTTTTGAGCCTAATTAATCCGTCATTAGCACATGTAGATTACTGTAGCATTTATGGCTAATCATGGACTAATTAGGCTCAAAAGATTCGTCTCATGATTTCCTCCCTAACTGTGCAATTAGTTTTTCTTTTAATTTACATTTAATACTTCATACATATGTCCAAAGATTTGATGTGATGTTTTTGGGAAAAAAAATTTGGGAACTAAACATGCCCTACATCCAACACATAACTCGCAAGGATCTCTTCTCAATCTCGTTGTCGTCATCATCAGCCGGCGCCATGGGCGCATGACACGACACGGTCGACTCGATGGTCGATGACATGAGCCCATGACACGTCGATGAGCTGATCTGATCTGATCGTGAGATGGATCATACATGCATCATGCAAAGGCATGGAACCCTCCGCCCAACAAAGGCCACTGTAACAAAAAGGCCTTCCTCCTTCGCGGGCGGCGGCTTCTCCTACGCTACAGTCTACAGCTAGGCGCTAGCTTACCTGTAGCTAGGCCCGAGAACCCGGCGCGTTGGCTGCACGTTACTATAGCCCCTACATGGCGCCGCGGGGCCCACACGCAGCACAGCATTGGGAAGCTAGGATGGCGCCAAACGGCCAAAGCAACAACAGAGGCCAATTAAAAACAGAGGAAAAAGGTTTTGGAAATTTTGGGTTGACCCGCGTCCTCCATTACACCCCCGCGACGGCGCTGCTTTTCTCTGGCTTTTTCTGGCTCGCTCTGGCTTCTCTTCTGGACAAGATAACGCATATTTACCATTTTGCCCTGTTCCACTTGCGCGTGATTTGGTGCCTAAGCGATTGATTAGTGTTATAGGCTAGGATTAGTAGTACTAATGCTTTGCCTCTTCATACACATGATGACATGCTAGTGCAGTACTGCTGGCTGGCGCCTGCCTTCCTATATAAACCAACACCCTCACCTTGATCCTTCCTCCCACCTCACCAGTCACCACACCACGTCTCTCATCCTCTCTTCTGCTTCTCACTGCCACCTCACTCACTGCAGTGCAGGCTGAGCACACACTGGTTGGCAGGAGGCACAGATTATATTGTTCTCGGCTTCCGTGGAGGTGATGGGGTGGTGGGGGTGGGCGGCGGCGGCGGCCGCGGCGGCGGCGTGGGTAGCTGTGAAGGTATTGGAGGTGCTGTGGTGGCGGCCGCGGCGGGTGGAGGAGCACTTCGCGCGGCAGGGGATCACGGGGCCGAGATACCGGTTCCTGGTGGGTTGCGTGCGCGAGATGGTGGCGCTCATGGTGGCCGCCTCCGCCAAGCCAATGCCGCCCCCCTACCGCTCCCACAACGTCCTCCCCCGTGTGCTCGCCTTCTACCACCACTGGAAGAAAATCTACGGTAATCCTCCTCCACCTCCTCTGCTTCTTAATTCAATCCTATCTCAAAAACAACAACCAAGAACAAGACGTTGGCAAGTGGCGGTGGTGGGCGAGCGATTTGCTCCCGGGAGATATGATATCGATATGATGGCGGCTTTAGGTGACATGCAGCATTAAGTGGCATGTCGAGCGGCTGGTGTTGTCTGTCGGAGTGGTTTGCCGTAGTTGTCTCTCGTTTTCGCTGTCCCCTGGTTGCAGCTTGGTTAGGTAGCCAGGGTCTATTCCCTACCCCAGACCAGACACACCTCCCTTTCTGCTCCCCCTCGCCACCCCCCGACTCCGACCTCTCTTGCAATTGCATACATCCCCCTCACCATTTACTCTAGCTCTCCCTGCGCCCGGCCCCGCCCGGCCGGTCCCCTATCTCTATGTGCGAATGATTAATTGTACTAGTATCAATATACGTATACTAATTGTAGTACTCATAGAAATACGTATGATGCCGTACGTCTTCTCCAGCAGCGGTTGTTGGGTGCTGAATTGCTGATGTGGTGGGGTGACATGACGCCCGGCGTCCCAATCATTGGGCGCTTTGTTTGCTTGCGAATTTGCGTTCGACCTCACACTAGGACTCTGTCCACAGGTTCCACGTTCCTGATATGGTTCGGCCCGACGCCGCGGCTGGCCATCGCCGACCCGGAGCTGATCCGGGAGGTGCTCCTGGCGCGCGCCGACCGCTTCGACCGCTACGAGTCGCACCCCATGGTACGGCAGCTGGAGGGCGAGGGCCTCGTCAGCCTCCGCGGCGACAAGTGGGCCCACCACCGCAGGGTGCTCACGCCGGCCTTCCACATGGACAACCTCCGCCTCCTCCTCCCCTGCGTCGGGATGACGGTCCTCGACATGGCCGACAAGTGGCGCGCCATGGCCGAGGCCGACAAGTCCGGCGAGGTCGAGATCGACGTGTCCGACTGGTTCCAGGTTGTCACGGAGGACGCCATCACGCGAACGGCGTTCGGCCGGAGCTACGAGGACGGCAAGGTCGTCTTCAAGCTCCAGGCGCAGCTCATGGCCTTCGCCTCCGAGGCTTTCCGCAAGGTCTTCATCCCCGGATACAGGTAATTAACCATTTCTCTCTCTCTCTCTATCTCTTTTTAATTTATGATTTACCTCTGCTCTGCATGATTGATCAGGCTGATAATTAGTATTAGTATTCAGTATGCATCGATGCTGGTTGTTGGTTTCACTGTGCAATGTACTAATTAATGGAAGCAAATTGATCCCGTGTCTGCCATTGTACAGATTCTTGCCGACCAAGAAGAACACGAGCTCGTGGAAGCTGGACAAGGAGATCAGGAAGAACCTGGTGACGCTGATTGGTCGGCGGCAAGAGGCGGGTGACGACGAGAAGCTCGACGGCTGCGCCAAGGACCTCCTCGGTCTAATGATCAACGCCGCCGCCAGCAGCAACGGCGGGAAGAGATCGGCGCTACCGGTGAGCCCCATCACAGTAAACGACATCGTCGAGGAGTGCAAGACATTCTTCTTCGCCGGCAAACAGACGACGTCGAACCTCCTGACATGGGCCATCGTCGTACTCGCCATGCACCCGGAGTGGCAGGAGCGCGCTCGCCAAGAGGTCCTCGACGTCTGCGGCGCTGACGGCGTCCCCTCTCGCGAGCAGCTTGCCAAGCTCAAAACGGTAAGCCACCTGATCACCTTGCATTGACATCGAATATTTTCTCAGCGTCCGGCGAGCTGACGCTGACTTGCATTGCAGCTCGGGATGATCCTGAACGAGACGCTGCGGCTGTACCCGCCGGCGGTGGCGACGGTGCGGCGCGCCAAGGCGGACGTGGAGCTCGGCGGTTACCTGCGGATCCCACGCGACACGGAGCTGCTGATCCCAATCATGGCCGTGCACCACGACGCGCGGCTGTGGGGGCCCGACGCGGCGCAGTTCAACCCGGCGCGGTTCGCCGGAGGCGTGGCCCGGGCGGCGAGGCACCCGGCGGCGTTCATACCGTTCGGCCTTGGGGCACGGATGTGCATCGGGCAGAACCTCGCCATCCTGGAGGCGAAGCTGACCGTCGCCGTCATCCTGCATCGGTTCGAGTTCCGGTTGTCGGCCAGATACGTCCACGCGCCGACGGTGCTGATGCTCCTCCACCCGCAGTACGGGGCGCCCATCGTCTTCCGGCCCCGCTCATCATCCCAACCAACCTGTGAAAAGATGAACCCGCTAACCAGCAGCTAGCCGTGTCAGTGTCAGGATGTCGTTGCTCTCACACTCTCTCTATCCATCCGAAGAGGGAAGCAGAGAGATCGTAGGACCAAGTTGTAGCGAGAGAATGACTCACAATTAAAGAAACGAAGAAGAAGAAGCATCTTTTACTGTACTAACAATAATTAACCTGCCTGCAGACGATGAGGATCCATGCATCAGCAGCAGCAGCAGCAGCAGCAGCTTAGATTAGGATAGGAGTTTAGAGGCCTTGAGCTGGCTGTATGACTGTATCTCCCAATTTTTTTTTGTCTGCATTCTAGTTTGATGATTTCTTCCTTGGATTGGAGGGAGGGTTTTGGTGATCAGTTTGGTGTATGAAATGAAAGATTGCAAAGTGTACACATGCCATGTCCCCATTTGTTCCTGAATTTCGAGTACATGCTGAAGAGAGGCTCGATCGATCTGCCTCTCTATGTATGTATAGATGTGGTCCTCGTGCTTGCAGAGCAGAGACCATTAAAGGAAGAAGAGATGGGGGCACTGGACACTGGTTAGTGGGTACTCGTATTTAAGAGTGCCTTGGAAGGGGAACAAATGGTGTGCCACAGATGGGCAAGCGGACAGGTTTGATCATCGATCCATTCATTCATTCATTGGCACTCACACACAGCATCATCTATGCTCTAGTAGTGCTCTGGCCTGCCTGGATCACAATGTCCAACATGCAGTTGCAGGCTTGCAGCACATGGATGTCCGCATACAAGGCGTGATCCGTGATGTACGGTTTCCGGGCAAGCTGTCTACTGTCACCGGCCAAGCCGCGGGCCGGCGGCCGACCGAGGACCATAACTGTAGCTGCGATGAGCTGAGCTGAGCGGAGATGAACCGGGCCTCGATCGTCTCGTCATAAAAGCGTGGAGGAGGAGGGCTGGGGTCCTACGCTTGGCCATGCAGTGCCACACTATTCATCTCCTTTGTCAGACTGCGCTGGCTGGCTGCCACATTGTAATCGTATTAGCAAACAGAAAGATAGGTTGTGTTTAGTTCAGCGCAAAGTTTGGATTTTAGTTGAAATTAGAGATAATGTGACTGAAAAGTTGTGTGTGTATGACAAGTTGATGTGATGGAAAAGGACTGAAGTTTGGATCCAAACTTTGGATCTAAACAGAACTTTTCAGTCACATCATCTCTAATTTTAACCAAAATTTAAACTTTGCGCTGAACTAAACACAGCCATGATAAGCAGCCACACTCCCGCTGCTGGAATACTATGGCCTGGCTTGCAATGGACTCCACTGTGGGTGCTGTGCTGCTCTTGGGATCTGGATCATACAAACAACAGCTCAGAGATTCATTTCATCCCGAGCACACAAGGACTCGCTCCTCTGCAGGCTGGATTCTGCCGGCTTCCTGGTTCCATGAAGCCGGCGCTGCACTGCCCTTGTACAGGGGAATGTCTTTCATTGCCTGTCAGAATCGTACAGGGGAATACTAGTGCTGCTAGGAAAACTGTAATTTCCCGGACGAATCCCAGCAAGTATGAGTGTAAACAAACAATCATGTGGTGCACACAACGACACAAGCTAGCTAGCTGCTGCAGAATCCAGCTAGTAGTAGTAAGCAGTAGCACACTGCAAGTACTACTCCCTCCGTCTCAAAATGTAAGCATTTTTAGCTATGAATCTAGACAACCGTGTGTCTAGATTCGTAGCTAAAAGTGGTTATATTTTGGAACGGATGTAGTAGTACATACACCAGCCTCAGGGTAAAATAACTCCACTAAAGATACCCTCAAGTACCTATCATATGCCCTGGTCTTGTTTAGTTCTAAATTTTTTATTCAAACTTTCAACTTTTTCATCACATCAAAACTTTCCTATACACATGAACTTCTAACTTTTCCATCACATCATTTCAATTTCAACCAAACTTTTAATTTTGGTGTGAACTAAACACACCCTTAAAAACTCCAAATGATTGATCAGCAGAAAGAGAAAGGAGACGGCACATACTGCTCTTTGTGCCGTTGTACAGACTGCATCTGCATGACTGCATACTGTTCCTGCATCACAAACTGCATGATGCCGGCATGTACTAAAATGTACTCTCTCCGTCCGAAAAAAAGAAAAGACAAACCCTGAGTTTTCATATCCAACGTTTGACCGTCCATCTTATTTAAAAAAAATATAAAAAAAATTAAAAAGACAAGTCACGCATAAAGTATTAATCATGTTTTATCATCTAACAACAATAAAAATACTAATTATAAAAAAAATTTATATAAGACGGACAGTCAAACGTTGGATATGTAAACCCAGGGTTTGTCTTTTTTTTTTTTTTTTTGACAGAGGGAGTATATGCATGCTGCCAGCATCAAAGTTTCAACTGCATGCCATGCAATGCATTGCATAGATCCTTTTTTACCTCTATCGTGAGAAAAAGGCAAAGGCGTGGACAGAGCACAGAGCAGCAGCCACTACAGCACTGACCAGGTGGTAGTGGAGCGCCGGTCTCTTCTCCCCACCTCAAGGGCTCGCCTCCATCAAACACCTTTCTCTTCATCCCAAAGCCAAGCTCGATTGGCCTAAAGGAATACCTAAGTCTAAACTAGTGCTCCTTCATAAGGATTCAACTTTTGCTAATTTACAGTAAAGCCTCTTTGTAACAAGTAATTTTTAAGGTTTTTATACATAGAATATGTGAAAAATGACATTGATAGATTTGTCATAAAAAATATTGGTTATATTTTTAATAATTTTATGAAAATATAATTAGAAAACGTAATGATGAGACGTGTGTTGTTGACTCTGTCAATGTCCAAAATAACAAGTAAGATTGAACATATGTTGAACATATGCAGTACTTTCTACGAATTTCTTTTGTTTCAGACAGAACCTAAAGCACATATATTCAATATATTATTCTGATGTAATGGACTGTAATATATATAATGTGACACTTCATAGTTTTATACTTTTATCCATAGTGGTAAAAGTGTAGGATGTCACATATAAAAACTGAAAGTTAAAGATACATGCTACACAGTGCGGATCGAGCTACCATTTCAATGTTCTATATACGCTTGCAATTTATCATGGAATTTGGACAGGGAGAGGGAGGAGGGATGGTGATGTTATGGGCAAACAAGGCCGGACCCTTGTTTCTCTTTGAGGAGCTGAGCTCTACATGTGTAGCTCCCATGTGTTTCTAGTCCCCATAAGGGAAGGCATGTGCCCAGAGGGCATCCATCCTTGATCCTTGCCCTTAATCCTAGTAAGATGGCATAGATGATTAGATGTAGGAGTATTCTTCTTGTACACAATCCAAACAATGTGCCATAAAGAGCATGTGACACCCAATGCACCTCATGATTACCTTCACGATTAGAATAAACCAACAAAATATAGGGGTTAAGCCCTTCTGACTGTTTTTAAGAGTAGGCTATTTAGGGTTAAGTACTGCCCAGCAGAACAGTCGCTAGTGATCATAGGGCTTCTCTACACCTTCCCTCTGGCTAGGTAACCGACATACAAAGCATGCTTTATTTATGGAAATCAGGGAGGGCTAGAAACACCTTTACCATCACGATGGCTGCCTCAAATGTCGTGACAAATGAAAACAAATTGAGCAATTTGTGGACGCTTTCAGGAGAAATTAGTGCTGGGCAGCCTCAGTGCCACATTAGCTAGCTAGGGTCGTTGTGCAAATCTCTTATGCAAAACATGGGGTTGAATAATGGTGGACCACACTGCTGGCATTTGCAAATGACTCCTCTGTTTTCTTGGCATATATATTCACAACATACTGCAAAAGTACACATCAAGGTTACTAGATTTCTGCATGCAATGATCATGGCAGAGCTATATAGCTTTCTTTTCCGGACTCATCATCATTCATGTGATTGAAGCATGTGTGTAAAGATGAGAGGGAACTTTGCAGAAGCTAATGATAAGAGCAAGGGAGAGATTTGGACTTTACAATGGTTGGATGCATGTTGGAGGCGGGTGATATAGATTCAATGATGGATTTTGTGAGCAGAAATGGCCATGGGGATGGGGAGAAACAGAAGCTAGTGGTGTCTTGATACCAGAAATCATCCATTGTCCTTTCTCTACTGTAGTCCCTTTTGTTTGTTAATTTGTGCAATATATCTGGTTCCCCTCCTAGGGGCAATATACACACCTTATTATGCACTCACCTATAATCAAATCAGTGACGTAGCATACCCAAAAATTTAGGTGGATTAGACACACAAGATATTTATATTAAAATCATGTGAATTATGATACACATGATATTATATATATATATATATATATATATATATATATATATATATATATATATATATATATATATATATATATATATAACAGTACGACGATTAATACGACAAGTAAACAATGGTTCCACCATATATTATGAGAAGTTGAGAACACATACGGACATCAAAGCATATAGCCCACAAATACACTTTAAATTTAGAAAAACATAAAATAAGCAAATGCATGTGTTTTCGATACATCCCATTAGCTAATATGTCTAGTCAGCAAGGTGGCAAAGGTTGGTCAGCTGACCCAATCTATCGTGTGGGCCCTCCGCCTCTGCAAATAATCTCCTATGTTGAAATTAAAGATCACCGATAATCTTTTCATTGTTGTATAGTGCGCTGTACTGCTTCCGCCTAAAAAAAGAACTTCATTTCTGACTATGCATCTAGACAGTTCTCCATATGCAGTTAGAAATAACTTTTTTTTTTGATAAAGGTAGTACTCCGTCCCTAAATATTTTGATGCGGTTGATTTTTTTAAATATGTTTGATCGTTTGTCTTATTTAAAAACTTTTATAAATTATGTAAAACTATATGTATATATAAAAGTATATTTAACAATGAATCAAATGATAGAAAAAAACTTAATACTAATTACTTGAATTTTTTGAATAAGACAAACGGTCAAACATGTTTAAAACAGTTAACGGTGTCAAATATTTAGAAACGGAGGGTGTAGTCAATTAAATGTCTAAATGTTTCTTCAGGAACCTTCATTTCTTGCTCAATCAATCTGAAAGATATAAAAAATATTTATTTAGTTAGCCTTGGGGAATTTAAAAATGTATCTCTAGCCTCAGTGTTGAATTGTCACTACAAAAATGGAGATCACAGGATCACTATTCTATATTAAATCAACAGTAGCTCATATAGAATTGGAATTGCCAGATAAAGCCAAAAATGTGTAAAGAAGACGATGTTCCGTACAGTCATGAAAACAATTTGGTGCAGAAGGCCTGCTGCTTTCATTTGCTAATTAAATGAAATCTCCATTATATAAAACAGTCATGAAGACAGTAGTGTACACAACACACAATTGCAGATTTTAACCTTGATTCTAAATGACAAAATGCTTAACAAGAACATTGTTTTGTATGCTGAGAAATCTATGCTTATATCCTAAAACTTCTAAAATCGAAACCGTTGCTTTTATAAAATTCTAAAGCAATACATCACGTTTGATTCTTAATTTGGGGGATTGAGTACAGAAATATATTGTCGGGTAGTATCAGCCGGGTTAACATATATAGGTTTTCCCCTTGTCATTCACTACAAGAAGAATGACTTTTGCAAACGGCCAAAACAAATTTTTATAGGAGGCCATCCATCACGTCTGCACTTAAAGGCCTGTGAAAATCGTGTATTTTTGCAGGCGATGGCCGCCTGTGAAAAGGATTTTCGCAGGCGGCCTCTCCATTTGAAGCACTAGTCACGCGTCCTCTAGGCGGAAAAAAAAAATCCCTCACCACCCCACCATCGGGTTTAGATCCCTTACTACTATAATCCAATAACAAATTACAAATTCTTTATCCATTAAACAAATCCAATCACTGGCATGCAGATATCCATACATCATACTCAAATCCATAGCACTGACATGCAGACAAACATAAGTCAATATGTAAACAACAAACAAAAAAATTTGCCGTCATCGCAGCGTGTGCCGATGAGAGGGTCATCATCGCAGTGCCGCCCACTTGGGCCCTCTTCTGCCACCACGTGCCTCCTCTCTACCACCCTTTACTGCTGTAGCCGCCACCGCCGCCCTACCCCTCTGGCTGAATCTAGGAGGGAGAGGAAGGGAGGGAGGGGAGGGCCGCTCCGCCGCACCCTCTTCCGCTGTGGCTACCACCCTCCCCCTTTGGCTGGATCTGGGAGGGAGAGGGATGGAGGGAAGAAGGGAGGGGAATGCTATGCCACCTTCTGCTATGGCCATTGCCGCTTCCCTGCCCCGTCCGGCCAGATCTCAGATTGATAAGGAGGGGAGGGGAGGGCCGCGCCACTACCATCTTATGTTGGGGCCACTGCTGCCGTCCTCCCTCTCCGGCCGAATCTTGGAGGAAGAGGGAGGGTAGGGGAGGGCCACGTCGCTGCCACTACCCTGCCCCTTCGGCCAGATCAAGGAGGGAGACAGAGAGAAGGTTGTTGGTATTTCTTACGTTCATAGATAAAATCTGCAAGTGCACGGATATACCGCTGTAGCACTTCACCCAAAAGTTTTCCAAGGTATCGAATTTCTATAAGGAACATGTGTGTTTAGCTATTCTTCAGGCTCATCCAAGGATACAAGATAAATGTAGATCAAAGGGTGGATAGGATCTTTTAATGTGGTGCAGGGTCGATTAGAAAGCTTAACTTTAATCCTATCGCTATGCTTCAGGCACTGGCTTGCTCATTGCTACCAGAACGCGCTCTACTCCGTACCTGGACAGGGAGGACTACGGTGATCTCAAGAGCTGTGGACACCCCGAGTATTATACCATCCAGTGTCCAACGCGACCACCACATACTATTGGAGAAGTGGGATCCATACACGCATAAATAGCCACTCGTCCTCAATGTGTCCAAGATCACGGTTGACAACCTTCTGTTATAATAACCGAAATGTCGAATAGTGAGCGCAAGACATAACCGTAAAATAGCTTGCCAGTCCACTCTGTCATATGCCCGTCAACCACTCGAAGGTGGTGACCAAAAGCATACCCCAGTGACTCGATCCAAAGCGCTATCCCCGATTATCTCAAGCGATCAAAACCCGTTACTCATGCTTAGCTAGTCCCCAGGAATGCGACTAGCCTCACACTTTTATCGCAAGCAATTAATAAACATAGCAAGTACCATAATAGGGTTAAAGTGCAGCGAGGTACATGACACAAAATAGGGTCCGAGGTCCCAACATACAACACATAAATATTGCAGCGGAAGTCTCATCTAGATTTCATAAGCAAAAGATAAAACCGGTGGCGCCAAACCCCACTAGGGCAACCGACCGGGCAAGAGCCAAGCTGCAAGAACTAGTCACTGCCCTCACTGCCCCCGGGAGCATAGTGACCACACAAGAAACACAGCTCAACGTCGGGATCCTCACCTAAAAATGCAGCCAACGGGTTAAGTATAAGATTGTACTTGCAAGTCTTACCCAAACTAATAAATATACAAGAGGAGAGAGAGGTATGCATGATTCTACCTTAAAGTGTGGCTCTAGGTTCAATATTTACATAAAGCTAATTTTAGTGGGCAAATAACAAGTTAAACATAACTGGAAAAGCACAAATAGTAACATTTTAATTTATGGACAGCAAGCATATAAATCTGAAACTAACAAGTAAATGAGCACAACCAGTGCTCTCATCATCAACAATGGGCAACCATTGCCCAAACCAATATGGCACAACATGCCAACATCACCATCAAACATAAACCCATCCATATTAATCCACATTTGATGCTAACATGAGTGACATACACATCAAGCAATGTCCATAACCGAGGACGCGGCTATTCGAATAGATTATACTCTGATCAGAGGTGTACAACTGGACCCACACGAAATGAACAAGGATCAAAGCTACACACCCTGTCGAGTGCGTTACGCGAGTGATACAAGCTCATTACATGCCTTTCCTAATCCCACCCCAACCACCTATACCACGCCGGGGTTCCCGACGACTCAGTCACGTGCGTGCGTGGTGTAACCAAGGCAGGCGCGCCACGCGGGAGGCACCCCCAGCCAACATAGGCACCCGAGGCCCTCCAAAGGGCTACCTGCCCTCACATCTCTCCAACGTGGTATAAATGATCACAGTAGAACTAGTAAAGGACAAGCCGGTCCCAAATAAGGCATGTGGTAAGTACCAAGGGTGCTTGAATAGATGTCAAAATGTTCGGTCCTTAATGACCTAGACGGGGCTACTTGCATCAGAGGAAAACCAACCTCCCTTCATCACCCTATCACCTGTCCAAGTCCAACAAATTTCATCAACCATTGTTTAGTGTAAGTGCTCAAGTTTTATGCCCATCACTACAAGTTGTCTATATATCACAAATAATAGTACTGTCCATCCTTATAATTCTATTAGCACTAAGCATAGCTAAGCATGAATGAAGTAAACATCCCAAATATTCCCATCCAGGGGTAATGAACTATAAGGGCAGCAATATACAAGGAAATAAATGCATAACCAGGATCTACCCACATACCCAAATCCAACAATATTAATAGGTAGCCAACCCATGCATATATATATATGTATACATACATATATATATATATATATATATATATATATATATATATATATATATATATATGTATGTATGTATAGATTGCAAACAAAACATTTTTAGAGAAAGCATAGGTTCTATATGCTTAGGTGCTTGCTTTGCTGCTGAGATGGATCACCCTCAACCTCAGGGTACTGCTCGTCACAGTCTGGAACATCCGAATCTATCGAAAAGCAATATGCAAATAAGAACCAAATAAATATGTGCATGCAACATGATCAGCAACTCAAGGCAAAAATACAGCGGGTAGGAGGTGTACTAAAGCTAATTTTGGTTAAAGAATTATCACGCTTTCAGCCATGGTTTAGGAGCTACAAAAATGACAAGCTATACAAGCTGAAAAATGGCAGCTCTGAAAATAATTCAGACCTTCCCTAGGGCATTAATAGCAACCTGCATTTCAAATCAAGATTTTACAAATGTGATTATTCTTAGCTGAAAGAGCACACAACAATGTTTTTTTTAGAAAAATTTCACATTGGATTTTACGATAGGAATAATTTATTATGGATTTTCTAGTAGCTAGGTGATCAAAAGGCACAAATAAATTATTCGCAGTTTTAGAGCCAAAACCAGCACATAAGTGCTAACTTTTTAACTTGAAACAATAAAGAGCACACTTCTATGGGTTCATAGAAATTTTGATCAATCAAAAAGGATTATATAAAAATTTTCTACATGGTTCTGAAGTTAACACAAGAGGAGGTCATTTGCTAATAAAATTCTGAACGGGTAGTGAGAATATTGCTGAAATCAGCAACACTTGAGATTGCTTAAGATGGTGCTACCCCACAACCGAGCATGCAAGTGGAACTACAACACAAGGATACAACTGACCAAGGTGATGCACAGTAGGATTAGAGCAAACACCCATATAGAAGGAGATCGATCGTTCAAGAAAAATTGGTGCTAGGTTGATAGGAATAAACTAAACACAATTCAAGTAGGGGCTGCTGGTAGATCAAGGTAGAACATGCCACGGCCTTGTTGCTAAACTAAGAACATATTGCAGGCAATGGCAAGGTTAAAACTCACCTATAGATACAATTAAAATGGAGATTGGGGCTGCTTCCACCGAAATCAAAAGAGATTAACACCGGATGAGCTGCAGCCACCTCCTAGCTGCAATAATGGAGGTGGACGACCTGTTGATTGTTGCTATAGATGTTCAACATGAAGGGAACTAAAAAAAATGCACCATGGATGGCAAGGAAGCTCACCAAATGGAGGGAAACAAAGTCATATTGCTGCTGCAACCATGCAGGCTGAAACCACCACTCTCTTCTCCTATTTCGATCTCCCACAACTCTCCATGCATGTGCAAGATGTTGGTACGGATGAAAAGCTTGGATGATGGGGATTGCTGTGGTCTAACATGCAGAGCTTGAGTTTGGGTTCTTAGATGGGATTTGGGGAGGAGAAGTGAGCTGGGAGCTCAGCTTGAGGAGGAAAAGAAAGAACAAGCAAGGGAAGTGAAAGGGGAGGAAGAAGAAGGGGTTTTCCTCTGCCCACCTTATGTCCTAAGGTGGGGAGAACGCCCAAGGGTGGGTTTTGGGCTAAAGAGGCACCCAAGGTCAGTGACAAGTGGGCCCAACTTGGGGTGAAAACGGAGCGGATTCGGACGGATAATAGCTATACCATATCCTAAACCATATTTTCTAAGCGGATGCGGAGCGGGTGCGGAAGACATGCGGATGTGGATGCGGAGCGGATTATTTCGGACAGCGGATTCGGTGCGGAGTCGGTGCGGAAACGGACAAAAAATTGTCGGATGTAAAGTTTGTATTCAATCCATACAACAAGAGGGTGGCAATACAATTAGCCCCAATACGATAGCAAAACATCATTAGTTCACTGCGTTTAGTTCAATAGTAATAGTATAACTATAAGTGTTCAGTTCAATAGTTCACTAGTCAAAATAATCCAAGATACATCCATGATCCATCAAAAACATAATATAAGTGTTCAGTTTAATAGTTCACTGGTCACTGCGTTGCTTAAAATGTAAAAATAAAAGTCATCGGCATGAGGCAAGCCATACAGGCATACAGCAAGCATAGAGCAGTAGAGCACGCTGCAGTGCTACACGCAGCCTGCACTGCTGAGGAGGAGCGGCGGCGGCGCTTGTAGCCTGCAGTTGGCGGCGGCGCTAGCAGCCTGCAGCCGAGCAGCAGCGGCGGCGCTAGCCGAGGAGGAGCAACTGGTGCGTGTTGGGGAGGAGGAGCGGCCAGCGCGTGTTGGGGAGGAGCGGCCGCCGCGCAGGATCGCCGTCGCAACGCGCTACGCCGACTCCTCGACTGGCAAGTGGCGGCTGAGGGACAGCATAGAGAGAGAGCCAGAGAAGATAGGGATCTGGGGGAGGAGGAGAGGATTAGGTTAGGCCTGGTTGGGCTATTGGGCTAGCTAGGTGGGCCTGAAAGTTGTTGTGTGGCCTGAGATTTGCGGATTATCCGTCAAACAGTACATCGGATAATCCGATTAAAATATCAGATAATCCGCATCCGTCGGATATCGTTCATACCACATCCGCATCCGCATCCGCATGATAAAATCCGCATCCGTATCCGGCTGGATATCTAAAAACCCTTACCATATCCTCACATCGGACGGATTCGGAGTGGATCGGATCGGATAATATCCGCTCCATTTTCACCCCTAGGCCCAAGTCATGGTGGTCTAAGAGGTAAGGGCTGGAATAGAGGTGGAACAAGAATTTGGGCAGATTTCAGGAATTTTCAGCAATTTTACACCTCTTCCACTATGACACCCAGTTAGTTCAAGAAATAATAGTGATAGAATTTTATCCTTTGGTGTGGAGATAGACCTGGACACCTAGTTTCCATTTTTCAAAGTTTCACTCAAAAATTCGAAATATTTTAATTCTGGTGAAAAGATGAAATTGGTTAGGCTGAAAGTTGGTTTGAATTTTTAGGAGGCCTAAACAGAGAGTAAAAATTCCACAAAATTTATATTTGTTGGTGATAAATAAACCAATATTTTAATAAATTATTACACATGTACACTTCTGTTCAAGTTATTGTTCAAATAGAAGTGATTTCAATTTTACCAATTAGAGTTAATTTTGTTATCGCCTATCATCAAATTGCAATATAGTAAATATGAAATCTAAAGGACAACAAATGCACTTCTAAATACCTGGTTATGAATCTAGGGCTGTTACAAGGGCTGTCACTACCTCTACACCAACCTCTAACGTACTGTGTAATACGCAGCAAACACTAGTAATTAACTATCTAGACATCATGTCTATGCAATTATGTACTACTCTAACGTTAACTAAACACTAAAGTAATCACTATTTCTTAATGAACAATAGTGAACAATGATCTAGTAAGCTAAATAGGAACTAACCAACAAATATACCACACAAGATAAATCTCAATTACTTAAATAAAATATTCTTAACTAGAGCAAAGTAATTGCTAAGGCAAAATAAATAGAGAGAGTTACCGACAACTCTGGAACTCCTCCAACTCTTTCGTCCCTTATTCTAAGCATACATGAATGCAAAGAGCCTCTTATTGTCATGGCTACGAATAAGGCTTACCTCTTATCCTATGGCTTACGGAACATACGAGTATGGTATATGTTGGTATTTCTTACGGTCGCAGATAAAATCCGCAAGCGCACGGATATACCGATGTAGCACTTCTCTTACGGAGTATTCCAAGGGTATCGAATTCGAGGGAACGTGTGTGACAGGCTAGGATAGAGAGGATTTATGTTGGCGGTATGGCATGAGGCCCTTCGACCAAACCTGCCGAAACCGTGCGACCAGTAAGGATTCAAGCCTGAGACATCAAGATTAGTTGGGGCGAAGCCCCCATGGCGAAGACTATGGAGCAAAGGCGGCGAAGAGCGGAGAATCGCGCGGGTACCTCACAGAGCCAAAGACCTCTTGGGCGAAGGGTGTAAGACAACTTCGCCATAGCAAGTTCGACCTCACAAAGGCCCATGAGGCCATCCTAGACTATCAAGCCCAGTGGCCATTGGGCCAACGATCACCTGACGGCCCGTTAGGAGCCCATGTACCTCAATTACACTGTATACCCATGTAAATGTCCCTTTCATAAGGGCAACCATGTAAATTCCCCTGTATAACCTAAACCCTAGTAGTAAGAACCTGTAATGGGGCCATAAATAACCTCCTAGGGCCATGTAACAGGGGGATCCGAGGAAAAAAATTCTCAATTCAATACACTTTACTTCCTTTCCAACCACTGTTGAGTAACCACGTCTTTTGACGTATGCAGTTGTCGTTTCGACAACAATTTACTAGTGAGAAACAGTGTCTAGGGAAAGCTTAACTTTAATCCTAACGCAATACTTCAGGCACTGGCAACCCGCTGTTCCCATATGTCGCTCTACTACGCACCCGGACAGGGAGGACTTAAGTGCTCTTGAGGGCTGTCACCACCTCTACACCTACCTCAAGCGTGCTGTGAGATACGCAGCAACCACTGTAGATTAATTACCCAGACTCGGCGTCTACGCAATTAATAACTACTCTAGTGCCAATCAAACACTAAAGCAATCACTATAAATGGATGGACTATAGTGAACAATGATCCCGTATGCTATTTAGGAACTAACTAAGAGATAATTCTCACGAGGTAAATCTAAATTACTCAGGAAGAATATATATTGAATTCAGAGTAATAAACAAAATAAAGGAAATGAGAGAAGATTACCGACAACTCCGGAATTCTTCCGACTCCTTCTACTCTACTCTTTTCCTATTCTAGTATACAATATAGTACAATAGAGCTTCTTATAATTCAGCTCAAGCTTGGAAGTGTGTGTTGAAGTGAGTGAAGTGAGGTCCTTATTTAGATTGTGAGAAGGGGAAATGTCTGAATTGCCCCGCAACCGTCATCAGGGAGTGATCTGGAGCGTCCATGCCAAAACCTGGATCCAACGGCGCTCACCAGGGTTCGGCCGAACCTGGGCTAGGCCCCCCTGGCCTGGCCTTTGGCCTGGCTCCTCTCTTGATCCTCCTCTACCCATTCCTCGGAGTTTTGGGCTGATTTTCCGATATTTTGATGAAGTTCACAACCCATCCTTGTATGGATACGTAATTCTCCTCACTTTAGTCTAGATTTCCTCCCAACCTTGGGGTTTATCTCCTGCATACAAATATACACCAAACTTGTGGAATTTGTGAGATTAAGCACCTATCACTATGTTGGGTGTTTTGTTATCTTAACTTTATGCAGATGTTGGCAGTATATAATTGTTATTTAATAGCCGCCAACAGTATACCATCATCCATACGATATACTTCCGTATGTGATGTGACCATGGCTACTATGGATACGACCATTGCTCACATCATGAATCAACAAGAAGACATCAAGATCAAGTCCTCCATGTGCTGCAATCTGATTCGGCCACGTGTTATATTGCTGACTTCAAACGGCCGCCAAATCTACATACGTGCTCCGTTTTGGGCCCGTGAGTACTTGATGGAAAGCTCTCGAAGTCCTCCTTCCAACGGATCCAGCCTCATCTTGGAAATCTATCTCGTTTGGCCGCAATCACAAAAGCAAGGTGCTGCGTCTCCTGTATTGGGCCAATGGGCTTGTAACTTTGTTTGGGACCCTGGCCCATGTGGGGTGCGCCCCAATCTGGTGGAGCACGACCCTTGGACCCTCTTGGTCGTCCTCCCACCTCTATAAATAGTTAGGTATCCCTTCAGGGTTTCTTGGGTTTTGTTAGATTAAAGTTTAGCCATTGCTACTTGCTTGCAGCGCGCGTGTCGGCTAGACCGTCCGTCTGCTTGTTCTTCGGAACCCCAACTTATCATTTGTATTAAATTCCTATTTGCAATATCAGATTGCTTTATTCTTGTTCTTGCTTGTTTCTTCGATTTGCTTGCAGGAATAGGGTTGATCTGCACCGGCAAGATCAACAACCCACGGAGAGGTGTATCGATCGCTAAGGCGCAACACAACGTCTCGTACGGTTGTAGTCGGATCGTCAACGTTTCTCCCAAATCGTAGTTATCACAACTCACCGAAAGATCGGGCCAACATCAGCCTTGAGTGTTGAGAGGAACTTAGGGTTCATCAGGTGGTATCAGAGCTTTCGTTGCTCGGTGAGTTTTTATCTTCCTATAACCAGAAAATAGCCATACAAAAAAAATTCGTATCATTTACCTAGCCATATTGTGCCATTGCATTGTTCTTTTCAGTTTTTGCTTTGTTGAATTTTGTGTTGCATTGTCACGACGTGTTGCTGGTCTTAGCGTCTAGTTCGTTTAGAGTTTCGAGTTCTGGTCACGTTTTGTACCACAGTCGTCGCTGCCACCGTGTCTCTGTTGTTGTCGGGACCTACGAAAACGGAATCGGCTCGCTGCCACGGTTCTATTTTTGTAGTTTTCAGAAGTTTCTGTCGGTTAGTTTTGGAGTTCTTGAGTTGCATCTAGAGTTTGCCGATCCTTGTGTGTGTTTGTTTTGGCCGTGCC